TTATTTGAGGTCCTGTTTAACATGCGTCTTGTTTTTACTATTTTTGTTTTTAGGTTGCTATAACTTTGATTTTGGCAACAAAAATATGTTTGGTGCAGTTTTGTTTTATTTTACACAATACTAAAACACTTTGTGAATAGTGGTCTAAAACCAAAATACTAAAAAATTGTTTTTTCTTATTTTGACAACTTTTCATGATCCAAAACCATATTTTGCATGTTTCTGTTTTTGACATTTTCACAACAAAATTTCGTTTCAAATATACTTTCAATTTTTTTTCAAAACACTCCTACAACAAAAATATTGTTTCTGTTTTAACCAAAAACAAAACGCTTAAAACAAAGTGCATGCCAAAAAAGCCCGAATTTATATCTCGTTTTCAACTTTAGTAAGATTAGGATTTAAATATTTAAAAAAACATAAAAATTGGAGAGTGAGACTATAAAGAGAGCAGTCTCATTACAAAAGTCATAAACTCCATTTATTAATGGTGTTATTCGTTGGATAGAGAAATATATAGCACAAAGATTGGTATGGACTTTCTTGGTAAGCTTTATCCATTAAAGTCATCGATTTTGGACTACTGAGGATGTCAAAGATGGACTGGACCAGACCCGACCCACTGGTAGAGCACCAGGCTGAGTGGTAGATCCAAGCCTAAGCAAAAAGGGTAGCATAATGAGCCAAACATCCACAAAAGAAAGATCTGACCGAACAGTTGAACTCAGCCCATAGTGCAATACTGTGAGTTAGGCCTAACGTCTGGGACTTACATGATGAAGTCAGGCCCAAAGAAAACCCAAGAATGAGAGCCCTATGTAATAAGTTAGTTATAGCATTTGTAATAGTCTATAAATAGACAGTACGAGTAAAGAGAAGGGGAAGAAAATTTCTTGCATCTTTAATTGGCGCCGTCTGTGGGAACGACGAAGACGATCGATTCAAGCTTGATCAATATCATGTTGATTCAAGCAAATTCGCGAACAAAGAGTTTGATTTCTGGAAGTTGAATCCAGATCAGCGAGATTGTAGTTTGTTCAGAGAAGATTCTTGAGTATTGTTGATTTTGAGGCATTTGCTTCAGAATTACGTAACTGTGATTTGTTCAATTGCAGTTAGATCCGGTGAGTTCAACGCTAGAAAAGCTCAGATCTAGCAAACGGTGACCACAATTCGGTGAAGTTGAGTCCAGATCTGACAGAATTCGCATCGGTGATGCTCAGATCTGATTAGGAATTCGTGATTCATGCCTTTACTTCGCTTCGGAATCATGATAGGGGGTTAGAACTCCAATACGGTAGAGAATGTCCAGCAGATGAAACTTGATGAGTTGATGAGCATGATCGAAGCTCTCAGGAGAGAGAATGTAGATTTAAGGACTGAAATGCAGCGTCAAGAAGTTCCGGTGATTCCGCAACCGCTCCCGGTAGGAGAAGAAGTTGCATGTACCGATGCGGCACAACACGGCGAGGAGGTAGGGAACAATCAGACAGATCTTCACCGCGATGAGGTCCGGCTAAACGATTTGCCACCAAATCCTCGTCGTGTTGATGATCGCGAAGGATCAACTCATGTGGATCCACGGCATGAGCAGATTAGGCGAAATGAAGCCATGACTTTCGATCCACATGAAGAAGCGACCAGCCGAAGAGAAGCAATAGAGTTTGATCGTCACAAAGAAATACAGCCGTGGCATAAGGAACTTATTGAGGACAGATCATTCGATCCGACTTATCGGCCTTCCATAGTGACATTCGACTTTCGCAGCTCAGAGAGGAGATCTATAGATCAGAGAGCGATCGCGGGGTTCCAGAGGGAAAATGAAGCCCTCCGTTCAGTAGCTTGAACGGTTGATTCACCGTTCACCGATGAAATTCTGAATGCCCCAAGTCCGAGGAAATTTTCCATGCCCATTTTCATTCTGTTCGACGGAACGACCGATCCGATTGATCATGTGTATCACATCCAGTTGAAAATGGCTCTGAACACTGAGAATGATTCCTTGATGTGCAAGTGCTTCCCTACAAGTCTAGCTGGACCAGCGCTCAATTGGTTTAAGAACCTGCCGAGGGGCTCAGTGGATAGTTTCCGAAGCTTGTGTGATCGGTTCATAAGCCAATATTATGGAAATAAGCATCCAACAAAGGACATTTCGAGCCTATTCACAATGAAGCAACATGAGGATGAGCGTCTCCAAGCTTTCTTAACCAGGTTTAACCTAACTAAGAGTATGGTGATTGAATGTCATCCTTCTACCGCGATTCAAGCGTTTATACTGGCCATGACTCGTGGCACTCCATTCCACACAAGCTTGATCGTGAATACGCCGAAGACTATGGATGAACTTAATGAAAGAGCTGATGGATTTGTGCGCTTGGAAGAAGAAGAGGCAGCTAACGCTCGGAAGACATCCTTCATATCCACAGAGGAGAAAACCAAAGCAAAGATCAGACAAAAGTAGGTCCAGCCACAGCGTCAGACCTCGTGGAAATCTGAGAAGAGGCCCAGGGAGGAAGAGCTAGTTACTTCGTTGAAAGTCACCTTAGCAAGGCTATACTAAGAAAATAAAGATAAGTTCTGATCTCCTTTACCGATCAGACAACCCCTCAAATAGAGGGATCAGTCTAAGCATTGTGCCTTTCATTCTGACTTTGGCCATCAGACTAATGAATGCAGGAACTTAAGGAGACATGTAGAGATGCTGATAGCCAGAGGGGAGTTCACAAGTTATATTCAAGGCCCGGCGGTGGAACAGAACCGACCAACGGAGCACGTGAAGAGGAATCAGAAGTCGAACTCTCACAGTACGCAACCAGTTCGAATAATCAATGCAATTCACGGTCGGCCTGAGCCTACTGAGGAGTCGGATGAACTGCTTTGAACACGCCTTCGCCAATCACGGATGAAGAGGAGGATAGGTAGTGTCAACAATCTATACCAACAGAGCACATCAGCACAGATAAAGTTTGACAGAACAGATCTATTACGTGTCCAGACCCCTCATGAGGACCCGTTGGCGTCAGTTTGACAGCAGCCGAATGTTTGGTCCGTAGAGTTCTGATTGATCCTTGGAGTAGTGCAAACGTCATGCCGAGGGACACATTTGATCGGCTCGAGATCAAGCCGGACCAGCTCAAGCCTATTGGAAATCCTTTGTTAGGGTTTGATGGAAAACGAGTGGAGCCCATCGGTACGGTGGAGGTAGCAGTACACGCTGCAGAGAGGGTTCTGATAGAGACCTTTATAGTTGTCGAGATTCATGCCTCTTACAACCTTCTGATGGGCAGAGGTTGGATCCACAGGGTTCAAGGTGTTCCATCCACTCTGCATCAAATAATGAGGTGCCTGGGGCCAGACGGAGCCAAGGTGATTGACATTCATGGGGACCAGGTCGCAGCTAAGGAATGTTATTCAGTAACGCTGAATTATGCTGGAAAAGGAAAAGCTCCCATCTGTTCGGCAAGCCCGAGATAGCAATTACCGGAGCCTCTCCCCAAGCAGAGTAGGGAGGCGGAGCTAGTGGACTTGACCGAAGAACCCCTGGTTGATGTGCAGAACGATCGGTTCCGACCAGAATGAACAACCAGAGTAGGGGAATGACTCGCCGTGAAGGAGAAACATGAGTTAGTTAATTTGTTGTCTCAAAACGCCGATGTATTTGCATGAAGCCACCTAGACATGCCTGGAATTGATCCTTCTGTATCCTATCACTCCTTGAACGTTAATCCCAATGCAAGACCTGTAAAGCAGAAGCAGCGAGGTTCGCTCCCGAGCGCAACCAGATCATAGCTGAGGAGGTTGACAGGCTGCTTAGTGCAGGATTTATAAGAGAAGTGTATTATCCTGACTGGTTGTCAAACGTTGTTGTGGTGCAGAAGAAGAATGGGAAATGGCGAGTGTGCATTGATTTCACCAATCTGAACAAAGCCTGTTCGAAGGATAGCTTTCCGTTGCCGAAAATTGATCAAATGGTGGATACTAGTACTGGGTATGAGCGTTTAACCTTTTTAGATGCTTATTCAGGTTATAATCAGATCACCATGGATTATGCTGATGAAGAGAAAACTTCTTTTGTTACCAAACGCGGGACCTATTGCTACAAAGTCATGCCATTCGGACTAAAGAACGCCAGAGCAACTTACCAAAGACTTATTAGCAAAATTTTCAAGGGCCAAATAGGGAAGACCGTGGAAGCTTACATTGATGACATGGTGGTAAAAAGTAAGAAGAAAGTTGACTATCTGAAGCATCTACGAGACGTATTTGATATGTTGCGACAATATGGATTGAAGCTCAATCCAACCAAATGCTCATTCGGCGTGAGTTCTGGCCAATTCCTGGGACACGTGGTTAATCATAAAGGCATAGAGGCAAGCCCTGCCCAAGCAGGAGCTCTAACTAAGAATGCCGAACCGATGACAGTCAAAGAAGTGCAAACATTTACGGGACGGATAGCTGCATTGAGCCGGTTCATTTCAAAATTGTCAGACCGCTGCAAACCATTTTTTGACACAATACGAAGCCATGGTAGACAAGTTTGGGGGGATGAACAACGCCTGGCATTAACTGCTCTGAAAGAATATATGCAGAACCTTCTGGTCTTGTCAGCCCCAGAACCAGGCGAAAAGCTATTTTTATACCTCGGTGTATCCAGCATCGTGACAAGTGGCGTTTTGATCCATTGTGCAGAGGGGAAGCAATATCCAGTGTTCTATGTTATCAAAATGATGATTGAGGCTGAACGACGTTATTCAAAAGCGGAGCGGGTGATACTCTCGCTAGTGCATGCGAAAAGAAAGCTCAAGCATTATTTTGAATCCCATCCTATCATCGTTCTAACCACTTTCCCTATCAGAATAATCCTGCACAAACCAGACCTTTCAGGAAGGATGACGAAGTGGGCCGTAGAGTTAAGCTCATTTGATATAACATATGAACCCAGAACGGCAGTCAAAGGGCAAGCGGTGGCAGATTTTTTACTGGAATGTGATTCAGAGGACATGGAGGAAGATCTTCGTGGTTGCTTGTGGAAAATTTTTGTCGATGGATCCTTAAATCAGATGAGGGCGGGCATTGGGATCAAACTGCAGACACCGAAAAGTACGTCCCTAAGTCAAGCGCTCTGGCTTGAATTCAGAGCCACCAACAATGAAGCGGAGTATGAAGCACTACTGGCAGGACTTAAGCTTGCCAAGGAGCTGAAGGTTAGGAATTTGACTGTCTTTAGTGACTCACAGTTAATTGTTCGGCAGGTGAATGGCGAGTATGAAACCAAAGATGAAACGATGGAAGCATATCATTCTGCTGTTATGTGGGAAGCCAAAAACTTTGAAAAAATTGAATTCATCCAAATACCGAGAGAGCTTAACGAGGATGTCGATCGGCTAGCATGTAGTGCCTTGGGTTCTGGAGTAACATTGGCAAGGGTGATTCCAGTAGGAATATTAAACCAGCCATCTATTTTTGAAGAACCTTCGGGCTCAAATCCTTCGCAAGTGAATGTTATTCCATATGAGCCAAGTTGGATTGATCCGATCATAACTTACATCCGGGATGGTACTCTGCCTGATCAAAGAGATGAGGCTAGGAAAATCAAATCGAATGCTGCAAAGTACGCCATAGTGCATAACTAGTTATACAAAAGATCTTTTTCTGGGCCCTACTTAAAGTGTCTCACCCCCACAGAGGCTCGGCAGATACTGCGAGCTATTCATGAAGGTGTATGTGGAAACCATTCAGGAGGAAGGTCTTTAGCGCACAAAGCAATGACACAAAGGTATTTCTGGCCGAACATGTCGTGAGATGCGGAAGAATTATCCAGAAGGTGCGATAGGTGCCAAAGGTTCGGACCACTGATCCACCAACCACCTGAGGACTTGCACGTAATGGCTATAATGGGGGATGGATGTGGTTGGTCCTCTGCCAACTGCAAGAGTTCAGAATAAGTATGTGCTACTGACTACAAATTACTTTACTAAGTGGGTGGAAGTAGAGCCATACCCGAACGTAACTCAAACTCATGTGAGACGGTTCATTTGGAGTAATATTATTTGTCGTTTTGGTGTTCCAAGGTCAATCGTCATGGATAATGGGACCAACCTTGACAGCAAGCAAGTAAGAAAGTTATTGGAGGAATATGGAATTAATCAAAAGCTGGTGGCAGTAAGTCACCCCCAGGCCATTGGACAAGCAGAAATTACGAATAGAACAATCTTTGCTTGCATCAAGAAGAAGCTTGAAGAGAAGAAAGGAAAATGGTTAGATGAACTGTCGAACGTCTTATGGGCTTATAGAATGACCCCAAGGTGACCGACCGGAGAAAGCCCATTCGCCATGGCTTATGGTACCGAGGCAGTTATACCGGTCGAGCACTTGGTTCCGACTGTTCGAAGCTTGGCATGGAGCCGAGAGCATAACGATAGTATGTTGAGGTTTAACCTCGATATGTTGGAGGAAAAGAGAGATACAACGGCAGTAAGGCTCGCATCCTACCAGCAGACGCTTATAAATAGCCATAACAAAAAGGTAAAGCACAGAGACTTTACACCAGGTGATTTGGTTCTAAAGAAGAAGCTAGGAAAGGTTAAGAAAATGGTGGCACCTTGGGAAGGCCCATATAGAATTGCAGAAGTTATAGAAAAGGGGGCATATACCCTAGAGACCATGGCCGGAAGGCTAGTTAACAAGCCTTGGAATGCTGCATCTCTGAGAGGTATTATCAATAAAAAGTTGAGTTTCAATTTTGGATTCTGTTCATTTTCAATTGAATACAGGCGAGTGTACAAGTTTTTGAGATTTATAAAAGTAATATTCCTCTTCAAGAGATTGATTAAGTAAAAATAGGGAAGTAAATGGCAGCTGGCACTATGAGCCGAACGCCAAACACTTGCTAAATAAAAAGCCAAGTGGCAAGTGGCATTCTAGTCGAGCGCTAGGTACTTAAGCAAAGTAAGTGGCAGCTGGCATTATGAGCCCAACGCCAAGTACTTGTTAAAAAATAAAAAGCCAAGTGGCAAGTGGCATTCTAGCCGAGCGCCAGGCACTTAAGCAAATTAAGTGGCAGCTGGCATTATGAGTCGAACGCCAAGCACTTGCTAAAAAATAAAAAGCCAAGTGGCAAGTGGCATTCTAGCCGAGCGCCAGGCGCTTAAGCAAAGTAAGTGGCAGCTGGCACTATGAGCCGAACGCCAAGCACTTGCTAAAAAATAAAAAGCCAAGTGGCAAGTGGAATTCTAGCCGAGCGCCAGGCACTTAAGCAAAGTAAGTGGTAGCTGGCACTATGAGCCGAACGCCAAACACTTGCTAAAAAATAAAAAGCCAAGTGGCAAGTGGCAAGTGGCATTCTAGCCGAGCGCCAGGCACTTAAGTAAAGTAAGTGGTAACTGGCACTATGAGCCGAACGTCAAGCACTTGCTAAAAAATAAAAAGCCAAGTAGCATTCTAGCCGAGCGCCAGACACTTAAGCAAAGTAAGTGGTAGCTGGCACTATAAGCCGAACGCCAAATATTTGCTATAGATAAATGTGAAGCTGGTTGTTACCACCCATGCACAGATAAAGTCAATATTTTTGTCATCTCATTCATGATATGTTTTGAGGTTATAAAAGATGAAATATACAGATGACATAATTACAAAAAAGCAGGAAATTAAAGTATAAGAAGAGTCCTAGCTAGCTGCATCTGTTCCGTCAGCCTCCTGATTGCGTTGAAGGGTCTCTTCACTTTCATTGGTCGTCCCATCTTCATGAGGAGGGGAGTCGAGATGAATGACTGAGTCACTCTGTTAAAGCCCAACCTCAGTAGCGGTTGAGGAAGGGACCATAGCGGTTAGAGGAAGAGCATCCAGAGGCTGAACGACAAAGGGAGCCGGAGTGACCCTGGAGGAAGCAATCTCCTGACACTCTTTAAAAATGTGTTCAGCAGGAGTGGAGTCTGGATCAACATAGACTCCTGGAGGGTCAATTTCCAGATCCCTATCAACTTCATCTGGAGTGGAACCGGTCTGGCCTTCGGTAGGAACACGGTTGGAGAAACCCTCTCGGTACCCCTGAGCATACCTGAGAGCCCCAACCCTTGAAAATCGAGCGTGAAGAGCCAACATGCCACCATTCACCTTGCTGATGGTATTGAGTAGAGCATCACACTCATCCAGGGCCCTCTTCTCGAAGGCCATCCGAGCGGACTGCTCATCAGCCAGAAGGCGCTAGTGTTCTGCTTTCTCATCCTTGAGCGAATCGCGCTCGGTCTGCCAAACGCTCTTCTCAAGTTGAAGAACATCCTTTTCATCCTGAAGGAAGTCAGTTTCCCTTTTCAGAGCGTCTCTCTCTTTTTCAACTTTGCCAAGCTGGGCCAACAGTTCGGTGTTTTTGGTGGCAAGGATGTTATTTTCTTTATGGGCCACCTCGAGGCTGTCAGAGAACTTACGAACCTTGGCGTTACCCATTTCCACCTGCTTCTGCATAGCCATCATACCGAACAAGGTCTGAAAAGATATACATGAACATTAGTTAAACCGATCGCATGGTCAGAAGAGCTCAAGCATAAAGATTATGTGAAGATTTGCAGACTAAGAGATAAAAATTACCTCCATGGCAGATAGGGGAAAACGGCTGAATACCTCCTTCTGAGATAGACCTTTGGCAGCATCAATGTCCTTGGGAGTCTACATGTTCCTGTAATATGCCATAGCGGTTTGACCATCCTTGAACATGGTCTCGTTTGGCTTCACGAATGTCCCATCTGTTCGGATGAATCGAGGAGTCCATGGTGCTGTTGCAGAAGCAGAAGCAGAAGTTGAAGCAGAAACAACAGCTGTAACAGGCCCAGAGGGGGCAGGAGAACTGATTGGGCGATGCAAGAGTGTGCCCGGCCCAGAGATTCGGATCCTCCTTGTAAGAGATGCATCATCAGCGTTGGCTGCACTGTCGGGATAAGGCCTTTTGCCTCGCTCTTTATCCGAGCACCCGCAATAACAGCAGAAGTAATATTAACCTAAGGAGATGTGCTCGGATTGGTAGGAGGAACGCTAGCGGCAGGATCAACAGCCACTGCGATCGGAATGGTGTCGGAAATAGTGGCAGAAGAAGAGGCCGAGGCTGGAGAAAAGGTTGCCGCAGCAGCAACAACAGTTACTCGGGGAGGGTTTTTCCTCTTACCGAAAGAGGGAATCTGGAGCTGGCTCATTGTGTTGCCGAGGGCTGAAATTGCGATAAGGTTGTCTGAAGTAAGGAGGTCTGAGCAAGAAGGAATGTCGTTCAGAACGTACTTCTTCAAGTAATTATCCCTATCCCTGCAAACATTATAGCTCAAGTCATCACAAGGAATGCCTAAGGAACGGCACAAGAAAGTACAAAAGCGAGGAACACAAATTTCGTAGGGACAATCGTTCTTATGTGTTTTGAATTTCTTATATAAAGAGACAAAACACTCACCAAAGGCGCTCGGGATTGGATAATCCTCTGCAGCTGGAGAAGACCAGGCCCCCCTAACCCCTATTACGTTGTTTCTCCAACCCTTTTCAAGCTTGATTGTGTCTTTACATATGGACATCTTTTCAATCGGGTAGAGGTAGTAGAACGGTTCTTCAAGTCAGATCTTACTGACCTTGTAACAGAGAAGAAGATTTATAACATCAAGATCCAGACCTCTGTCACGAGTCAGCAGTAGCAGAACGGATAGGATCCTAAAAAAATTTGGATTTACCTGCAGAGGGGAGATCCCTAGTCTGTTGAAAACATAGTTAAAGAAAGGATGCAAAGGGAACCTAATGATATTCAACTGAAGAAGGGTAAACAAGACTTCGCTGGGAAGAAGGCCAGCACCAGTCCTGATGTTCACATCTTTAGGGCAGTTCCTAATTTCTATATCGACAGGGAGATGAAGTTTCATGCGAAGAACATCTAAATCTACAGGCATGGCGAAAATGAATAAGGGTTTTAAGGGAGAAAATGAGATCTTCCAAAAGAAAAAGGAAAACAAAACTAACCTCAGAGGGAGAAAACGTCAAAAGAGTACTGCAAGATCGCTGGAAAAAAGAGCTTTCGCAGAGGTTCGCCGGAGGAGATTTGATTTGATTTGAAAAAATAAGCAAGCGAAGATTTGGCAAACAGTGATACAAGATAGCGACGGTAGAAAAAGATTGAAGGAATGTCTCTGATACTTATAAAGACATAGTGGGCCCGAAGGCCGAAGCATCAGGAAAACGAGGAGTTTCTTTGGAATCTCGAAGCATCGGTTTTAGATTTGACCGTTCATTGTCCCACGAGATCTTCTTGAGTCGTCGACGTCATTATTGGCCGCCGATAATAATTACCCCCTTATTTATTAGGGGGTAATTATGGGGGCAATTGAGGATGTCAAAGATGGACTGGACCAGACCCGACCCGTGGGTAGAGCACCAGGTTGAGTGGTAGATCCGAGCCCAAGCAAAAAGGGTAGCATAATGAGCCCAACACCCACGAAAGAAGGATCTGACCGAACAGTTAAACTTAGCCCATAATGCAATACTGTGAGTTAGGCCTAACGTCTGGGACTTACATGATGAAGTCAGGCCCAAAAAGAAGAAAGCCCAAGAATGAGAGCCCTATATTTGTAATGGTCTATAAATAGACAGTACGAGTAGAGAGAAGGGGAAGAAAATGTCTTGCATCTTCAACTACGAAGCACAAATATTGAAGATCAAGATTAAAAGTCTAGAATGGTCTTTGTGTGAGTTTTAAACTAAAGAACACATATAGGAATATGGAGTGTAGATACGATACGAATGATACGATAAATTTTAAAAAATTAAAATATAGGCACGGCGAGATAGGAAAAAAAAAAAAAAAAAGATTGTACATTTTTAATATTCAAAAAAATATATTTTGTTTGTAATCAATTTCCTGTCATATTATGAATCTAAATGCAATCATTAATATAACGTAAGAATTCTTTCAAAATACATAAAACATGTATTTTTAGTCATCACCTTAATAAGTTTTAAAATTTTCTTAATAAATTATATTATGTTATTGTTGTTGGAAAAGCTTGTTTAAAATGTGTTACGAAGTATCTGAAATGTATTAGCTACGCAATTGAAGTATTTGAGAAGTATTAAATATGTGTTAGAAATTTAAAAATATATTTTTAAATTATAAATACGTTTAAGAAGTATCAGATACGTATTCACAAATATTTGAAGAATATCAATATCTGACACATATTCAATACGCGGGTACATTGCTATCGTAAAAGTGTCTATGCTTCCTATGTTTTAAATAATCATTATAAAATTATTCCTGAAGTGATTTAAGTTTGAAAACTCAATCTTGACCAAGTGAAGTGAACTATAAGGTCCACAATAAATTGAGCGATATCATTTGATGGTCCTTAAACTCTTAAACTTAGGCCAGTAATTCATTATTTAGTTTTACAAAGCCATAAATTTTATTTGAAAAATGTTCAAGCATACTTTAACTTTTAAAGCTTCAATTTTCACATTTTAGAAAATTTACTCAACTGCGTTTCTAAGTCAGTCGAAGAATTTTTTTTTAACTAAGCTTAAATCTCTAACTTAGAGAAATCAATCAACCTACAGTTCATATTAATCAACAAAAGACAAAATATATAATTTCACGCATACACAAACAAGTTTTAGGTGGTTTATCCAAAATCAGTGTTACGTCCGCGGATGAGAATAGATTCACTATAATTTCAAAAAAATATTACACAGGTTGAGAATTTCCAACCCCAAATCATGTACACAAACTCTTGATTGAGTTATTCTTTGTGTACTCCACTAGACTCTTTCTCACCATCAGTGTTCACTCCACTAAACTTGTGTTTACCCCTACCAT